AAAAAAAAAAAAAATTATGTTTATTTTATTGTGTGTGGGGGTGGTGGTTTGCTGATGGGGAGGTTAGAGAAAAACTTGAGGAAGTTCTTTCCTTCACCACATAGGTGCCAAGAATTGGACCACAGCTGTCATCCTCCACCTTTACTTTTTAAAACGGTAATGTCATTCACTGAACCTGGAACTCACCGATTGGCTAGAGTAACCGGACAGAGAGTCCCTGGGATCCACCTGTCTCCCTGCGACCTGCCTTTACTCGGCTGCTGGGGATCTGAACTCAGGTCCACAATGCTTCTGCAGCAAGCACGTTACCCACTGAATCGTCTTCCGCGCGGTTGACTCCTCTGTCTTCATACTCGGCTCTGCCCACTTCCTCCAGCTGCCTCTGCCCATGGGCCCTCACTGGCTCCTCTGCGTGCCCCCCGTTCTTATCCTTATCTTTATCTTATCCAAAGTCATTGACTTTTCCTCCCTCCAAACATTCTGCAAAGCCCCCTCTACTTTACAAGCACGGAATAAATTCATAGATAAGAAAATCTACCCACGCACACACTTTTTAAAAACGGATGAACGCGAATTCACACTGAATGGTTGAATACATTTTCCCGCATGTAAGCGTCCTGGCAGCTGTCTGCATGGGTACCTAGAGTCACAGTAAATGTCACAGTGGCACAGGTGGGGTGACAGATAGCTGACTCAAGTTTCTCAGAGATGTGATTCCTTACCACAGTAAACGGAGCAAAGACCTGCCTTCCTGCCATGCGCATGACTCTTGAATTCTCTGTGAATATAAAATTCTTCATATATAAGGATAAAACTGAGATGGGCTCTGCAAATAGAAGCAAAATCTTTAGCTGAGAAACTGGCCTTGTTGGACACTCTAGAATGACGAAAGAGGATTGTTTTTACTCTTCATATCTTTAGCTCTCTTGGACATGGCAGGATGTCTGGCGACCCTGGCATCAGCCGACTGAACACCTGGTAGCATCCTCTAATTCATGGCTAGCCTATGCAAATTTCCAAGATGTCCACTAGGTAGCGCTGCTGCACTGGGTGAGAAACAGCAGGGTCATGGGACTATTCCCCGGCTCCGCGTCCCCTCCTACTTTCTCTCTACCTGACACTTTTGTGTGTGTGTGTGTGTTGCCTGTTCCTGCACCTCTGCTGTGAGCTGCGGGAGGGTACTGATGCATCCAATGCCTAGAACAATGCCTGGGACAGACCAGGCAATGGGTGAAAGAGAGGCTGCCTCAGTCAATCCCCTAGAACTCTCTGTAAAATGGGTTTAGACTCTACTCTTAGGAGACCCAAGATTTGGTAGTCAAGGTGACCCAAGTTCAGTCCTTTTTAAAATCCAGCCCCTGGTAGGTAGGGTAGCTGGGAAATGTACCTCAGCGAGTACAGTGCTTGTCTGGCATGCACGAAGTCCTGGTTCGACTCTTGGGACTATATAAACAGGGTGTGGTGACACATGCCTATAATTCTAGTATTCTGGAGGTGGAGGCAGGAGGATAGAAAGTTCAGGGTTATCCTCTGCTGCATAGGGGATTTGAGGTCAGCTTGGGATACATGAGACCCTGTCTCAGAAATAAAATCCACCCATTAGCTTTGTATAGTATTGAGGTTTTCCCACAGGCTGACTGACATCATGCCTCCTTTGCTCTCTCAATATTTTAGTTTGGTTGGTTGTGGTAACAGTTGCTGGCATTTTTACCAGTGCACACAATACTGTGGGTGGTCTCATTTGTCCTCAGGAAATCCCTACAATATGGTATCACCATGTTCCATGTACTCTCGAGGGAACCAAGACTGAGCGTCACACACTCAGGCACAAGGCCTGAAGTATTCATCGTCCACGGGCAGGGACCAAGGTCATAGGCACCCTCTGGATATGCTGTGGGCAAGATGGAGTCCTTCAGAGGCCTGCATTCAAGGTGTTAACTCTGCCTCCATCTTGCTGTGTGACTTGGAGCAGGTCACTTAGCCTTGGTGGCTTTATTGATGAAACAAGAGAGCCATTCAAAAATGTAGTTTGACTGCAGGCCACAAATACTGCAAATCTATGCCAACAGGAGACAATGAGGGTCTGCTGTGGATGGTGTGCCCAGGCGGGGCCAGGGGTACTCCTAGTGTATTCAGAGGGTAGCTAGGAGTGAGCTTGGAGGACATCATGGTAGCAATGTCTCATTCTGACCTTTAGAGAGAAGGCTGGGGGTGGATGTCATGGAAACAGTGCACCAAGCAAGAGCTTGTTGGTCATGGTCCCTCGTCTGGCTAGATTCCAGGCCACTGTCCATACCCTAGCTGTCATACTCCTCACACTGACCTCAGTCTCACGGTAGAAGGATAAAGATCTGATTGCCCCCTGAAGGAATCATCCAGGGGTCGGGCACAAAGAGAGAAAGAACTTTCTAGAAGCCAAGGAAATAGCTTCAGAATGGGCTGTCCTGGTAGAGGCAGAAGCTGGGGTGTCCAGTCAGGAAAGTAGTCCATGAGCTTCAGTATGGTCTTTGAAGTTCTTTCTGTCACCAAGATGCAGGGATGATGGTCTTAGCCATTTCCAACCAGTCCAGCCTGCATGCTTCTTGAGGCTAAGAGGCCTTTCCGTTCCCTCGTGACTAGCCCTTCCAAGTCCTTGTGTGGCTTTCCTAGGGACATGGAAGACACTTCTGTGACTTATTTCTCCAACTCTACTGGGGCCAGGCCTGCCTGGATATTTCTGTCTCTCCCAAAAGAAAACAAAACTTTACTCACTAATGTAAGCAGGCAAAATCTTTACCCACTAAAACAAACAACCCAGCTCCCCTAAGCCATGCCCAGCGTTCCTAATATGGCATCAGGGACTGTTCCCTGGGACCCAGTGGACACGACCATCCCATTCCTGGAAGAGGCACAGGGACGGGTTCCAGGTGGCAGATGAAGGTCACATTCACACTAAGGGCTTCAAAGGTTGGATGGGGATCTTCAAGACCAGGATCGCCAGAAACAACACATGAAGACCAACACATTTGCATTTCCTGTCCGTAGGGATGTTTTCAGTGTGAGTTTATCTCAGAAACAACACAAGAAGACCAGCACATTTGCATTTCCTATCCTTAGTGATGTTTTCAGCGTGAGTTTATCTCATTTGGGATATGCTCAAGCTTAAAAATTATTCCGTACTTGTCAGAGTTCAGATTTAACTGGGCCTCTATTTTTTTTTTTTTTTTTTTTTTTTTTGGTTTTTCGAGACAGGGTTTCTCTGTGTAGTTTTGCGCCTTTCCTGGAACTCACTCTATAGACCAGGCTGGCCTCGAACTCACAGAGATTCGCCTGGCTCTGCCTCCCAAGTGCTGGGATTAAAGGTGTGCGCCACCACCGCCCCTGCTTAACTGGGCCTCTTGTATGTTCGTTACAACCTTCTGGGCTGCATATAAATATGGTCAGAGACCTAGAATGCCTGGTGTCTGGAAAGGGACAGAGGACCTGCCAAAGGGGGCGGAACTAGTATCCCAGGGCTTCTCTAGAAAACACAGTCCCTTTTGTCCCCAAAGCAACTAAAACGGAAGTGGTTCCTGCTGAGTATGCTTCACCACCCAGGAAGTTAACGTCACCTTGAGCCTTTGGGAAACACCTGTGACTTGGAATTTGACCCTGTAATCCACCCAGGAGGAGCCATTTCCAAGAACGGAGTCATAGGTAACCTATACAGACCAAGACGCCCAACCCACACTATCTAGAATAATCACACACACACTTCCATGGCTGTGCTGTGCTGCAAATGATCGCTTTGTTCACACAATCCCAGCACGTCAAAGTAACAGGAATAAGTCAGGTGCTCAGTTTGTGGGAACTGGTGAAGTAAAGCGACAGCACAATTAGTTGGTAGGCTGACTATTAGGCACCCATTAAAGCTAATGATTATTAAAGTTGTTGTAACACAGGAGATGTGTAAGGGATGTTGACAAGAAGGGGAAATCAGGATTTGAGATTAAAGACACGTTGTCTATTTAATAGAAAAGCCACAAGAAGGAACTCTGTTAGCCGTGACCACATTGGGTAATTTGAGTCCCATTTTTGCAAACAACCTTTAATGAATGTGTCGTGATCACCAACATTCAAAACAGCGCAAGGACTGTCTCCACAGCTCAGTGGTACAAATGTGTGCTCGACATACACGAGGCCCTGGAGCTGCTCCCCATACATGGGCACAGAAACATGGGGAAAAAAACAACAACAACAAAACCACGCTGAAAAGCTTCCAGAATCTTCCTTTTCTTCTAGCCAGGTGGAATCCTGAATCTACTCACCACTCTCTCCCCAAGGCCTGCCTTGCTGTTTTTTACCTTCTCCCCCTGCTTTCCACTGAACTAAAACTAAGATTTCATAAGCTCATCTTAGTTACCAGGACCTGCAACCAAGAGCAGTTGAGACAGGAAGTTGAGACATACACATAGGCCTGCCTTCGAGGGTAACTGGGCCACAGCATTTTAATATTAGTGCTTATAGCTGTGCGTAACGCCCCCAGTCCCAAGATATCTCCCAGCACCCCAACCTCAGGGTCCCATGGTGCTGAGTACTCATTTACCTGACCATCACCGCCTGAACCATGAGCTTTTTGAAACTGAAGAGGGCATCTTCCTTTATTGCCTTTCCAGAATGGGACCTGGCCTCCACAGACGTGCTAAATGAGCACTCTGTGGATCCAGCAAAGGCCTGGCCATAACTTGGGGATTGAATATCTCCCTCCACCTTTACCTTGACATTTTTTTTGTTTTGTTTGTTTTTGTTTTGTTTTGTTTTTCCAGACAGGGTTTCTCTGTGTAGCTCTGGCTGTCCTGGAACCCGCTCTGTAAACCAGGCTGGCCTTGAACTCACAGAGATCCGCCTCCCTCTGCCTCCTGTGTGATGGGATCAAAGGCGTGTGCCACTACCACACAGTGACGTTTGGTTTTTAAGTCAGCTGCTTGACTGTTTCTGGTGGGTTCCAGGTTCCAGGAAGACTGTCGGCAGGTGCTGTGTCTGTGACAAAGGGAAGCCCCAAGGCCGTCTGTTGTAAATGTTGTCATGGCTTCACGCATCCAGACTGTCATAACATTGATTCATGGAATCAATTTCACCCACCAAAAATCTTAGACAAGCAACTGGTTGACTATTAACCAACATTTTTGTTGTCGTTGTTGTTTGTTTGGTTTTTGTTGTTTTTTAAGACAGGGTTTCTCCGAGTAGTTTTGGTGCCTGTCCTGGATCTCACTCTGTAGACCAGGCTGGCCTTGAACTCACAGAGATCCGCCTGCCTCTGCCTCCCAAGTGCTGGGGTTAAAGACATGCGCCACTGCTGCCCTGCCCAATTTTTTAATTGTTGTTGTTGTTGTTGTTGCTGTTGAAATGCATTTATTTGTTATTTATTTTCTGCAGAGGTGGATGCATGCCCCAGCATGTGTGTGGAGGTCAGAGAACAGCTAGTGGAAGTGAGTTCTCGCTCCATTTTCCCACTGTGTGGGTCCGAAGGCTCAGACTCGGGTCATCAAGCTTGGCAGCGAGCATCATTACCCACTGAGTCACCTCAATGGCCTTTGATTGGCTTTATAAATCTAATTTTGTGTGTGTTTAAATTTAGTAGTGTCTGGGGTCTCCCCAAAGTGTAAGAGAGAAAAGGGAAGAGTGACTAGGGAGACCCTTTCGAACTGGCTTGGCAGGCCTGGACAGCAACGACTTGACTGTTTGTCCCCCTGCTCTCTTCCCTGATGGCCGGGAATAAGCCAGAGAGAGAGCCAAAAGCAACAGCTGTCCCAACAAGCTTGGTGCCGGGTGCTGGGGTCCCTTTGTAACAGTCTTACTTATTAGGAATGATGCCCACGCTTTTGATCCCCACCCCCAACCATTTAGACTGTGAGACCATTTTTAACTTGAAGGTCATACTGAAAGCCATAGACTGGAGGGGAAGTTCGTCTGGCTGTCATTTGCTCCCTTAGAAAGCAAAAGGATTTATTTCAGTTCACAGTTCCAGGGTCCAGTCATCACGGCAGCTGGTCACATTACACCTGCAGCCAGGAAGCAGAGCG